CTTCTCCTTCTCCTTCTCCTTCTCCTTCTCCTTCTCCTTCTCCTTCTTCTTCTTCTTCTTCTTCTTCTTCTTCTTCTTCTTCTTCTTCTTCCGTTGGGAGACTTTTAATGAATGCTTTTATTTCTATTTAAGTTTTTAACCAATGTTGGAAAGTGGTATCTATCAAGAAAACCATCCATTTTACTTAGATTTCCAATTTTATATTTTATATTCCAATTTTATGGAATATAGGTTTTTGAAGTAAGACCTAGTGTTTCTTTGGATTCCCTCAGTATCTGTTGTTATGTCCCTATTTTCATTCCTGATTTTGTTAATTTGATACTCTCTCTCTGTCTTTTATTTAGTTTGGTTAAGGGTTTATGTATATTGCTAATTCTTTCAAAGAATCAGATCTTGATTTTGTTGAGTCTTTGTTTTTTGTTTCTAATGGGTTGATTTCAGCCCTGAGTTTGATTATTTCCCGCTGTCTGCTCCTTTTGGGTCTGTCTGCTTCTTCTTGCTGTGGAGCTCTCAGTTGTGCTGCTGAGTCACTAGTGTGAGATCTCTACGATTTCCTTACGAAGGCACTTAGTACTATGAACTTTCCTCTTAGCACTGCTTTTATTGTATCCCATAAGTTTGAGTATGTTGTGCCTTTGTTTTAATTGAATTCTAGAATGCCTTTAATTTCTTTCTTTCTTCCTTGAGCCAGTGGTCATTGAGTAGAGAGTAGTTTAGTTTCTATGAGCTTGTAGTCTTTCTGTTGTTTTTGAGTTCAGGTTTAATCCATGGTGGTCTGATAAGATCCAAGGTTATTTCAATTTTCTTGTATCTGTTGAGACTTGATTTGTTTTTTTTTTAATTCTTTATTAATTATACTTTATTCACTTTGTATCCCCCCCTGTGGTTCCCTCCCTCCTCCCGTCCCAATCCCTCACTTCCTCCACCCTCTGCAGGATGCCTTTCCCCAAGTCCACTGATTGGGGAGGTCTTCTTTTCCTTCCTTCTGATCCTAGTCAATTAGGTATCATCAGGAGTGGCTGCATTGTCTTCTTCTGGTAATGCTGCTTTCCCCTCAGGGGGAGGTAATTAAAGAGCAGGCCAATCAGTTCATGTCAGAGACAGTCTCTGTTCCTATTACAATGGAACCTACTTGGATACTGAACTGCCATGGGCTACATCTGTGCAGGGGTCTTAGGTTATCTCCATGCCTGGTGCTTGGTTGGAGTATCAGTCTCAGGAAAGACCCCTATGCTCAGATTTTTTGGTTCTGTTGCTCTCCTTGTGGAGTTCCTCTCCTCTCCAGATCTTACTGTTTCCCACATCTTTCCTAAGATTCCCTGCACTCTGCCAAAAGTCTCAGCATCTGCATTGATAGTCTGCAGGGCAGAGCAATTCAGAGGTCCTCTCTATCAGGCTCTTGACTTGTTCCTTCTTTTCTCCTTCTTCTGATGTCCATCCTTTTGCCTTTCTGGATAGGAATTGAGCATTTTAGCAAGAGTTCTCCCTCTGATTAGTTTCTTTAAGTGTACAGATTTTAGTAGGTTTATCCTATATTTTATGTCTGTATGAGTGAGTATATACCGTGTACGTCTTTCTGCTTCTGGGATAACTCACGCAGGATGGTCTTTTCCAGATCCCACCATTTACCTGCAAATTTCATGATTTTCTTGTTTTTTATTACTGAGTAATATTCCATTGTGTAGATGTACCACAATTTCTGTATCCATTCCTCCACTGAGGGGCATTTGGGCTGTTTCTGGCTCCTGGCTATTACAAATAAAGCTGCTACAAACATGGTTGAGCAAATGTCCTCATTGTGTACTTGAGACTTTTTTGGGTATATGCTTAGGAGTGCTATAGCTGGATCTTGAGGAAGCGCTATTCCTATTTGTCTGAGGAAGAGCCAGATTGCTTTCCAGAGTGGTTGTATAAGTTTACATTCCCACTTGCAGTGGAGGAGGGTTCCCCTTTCTCCACAACCTCTCCAGCATGTGTTGTCACTTGAATTTTTAATCTTAGCCATTCTGATGGCTGTAAGGTGAAATCTTAGGGTCGTTTTGATTTGCATTTCCCTTATGACTAAGGACGTTGAACATTTCTTTAAGTGTTTCTCTGCCATTCAATATTTCTCTATCAAGAATTCTCTGTTTAGCTCTGTACTCCATTTTTTAATTGGATTACTTGATTTGTTGCTGTTTAACTTATTGAGTTCTTATATATACTGGATATTAGTCCTCTGTCAGATATAGGGTTGATGAAGATCTTTTCCCAATCTGTAGGACACCTGATTTTTGACAAAGATGCCAAAACCATTCAATGGAAAAAAGGCAGCATCTTCAACAAATGGTGCTGGTCTAACTGGATGTCTACATGTAGAAAAAAGGAAATAGATCCATACTTATCATCCTGCACAAAACTAAAGTCCAAGTGAATCAAAGACCTCAATATAAAACTAGACACACTAAACCTGTTAGAAGAAAAAGTGGGGGAGAGCCTTGAACTCATTGGCACAGGAGATAACTTCCTGAACAGAACACCAACAGCACAGGCTCTAAGAGCAACAATCAATAAATGGGACCTTATGAAATTGAAAAGCTTCTGTAAAGCAAAGGACACTGTCGTCAGAACAAAATGACTGCCTACAGATTGAGACTTGATTTGTGATGGAATATGTAGTCAGTTTCGGAGAGGGTTCCATGAGGTGATGAGAAGAAGGTATATATATTTTTTGTGTTTAGTGGAAATGTTTTGTAGATGTCTGCTAGGTCCATTTGACTGATAATGCCGGGTAGTTTCTTTGTTTCTATGTTTAGTTTCTGTCTTGCTGAATTGTTCAGTGATGACAGTGGGGTGTTGCAGTCTCCCACAATTAATGTGTGGGGTCCAATGTGTGATTTAAGCTTTAGTAATTTTTAAAAAATGAATGTGGGTGCTTTTGCTGGTAGTAGTACAAACTTTTATAGCCACCATGGAAATCAGTATTTGGATTTCTCAGAATGTTGGAAATTCATCTACCTCAAGATCCTAGATACTAGTCTTGAGCAAATACCCAAAGAATGCTCCATCCTACCAAAAGGATACCTACTCAACCATATTCATTTCTTCCGTAGACAGAAGCTTGAACTAATATAGATGTCACTCAACCAAAGAATGGATAAACATTTAGACAATGGAGTATTACTCAGCTGTTAAAAATGACATCATGGATTTGCAGACAAATGGATGGGACTAGAAAAAAAATCATCACAAGTGAGGTAACTCAAGTACAGAAAAATAAATATGGCATGTATTTGCTTATATGTGGATATTAGCCATTAAACAAATGATAACCAAGCTACAACCCATAGTTCCGGAGAGTTCAGGTATAGAGAAAGGGATTTTGGGCCACACATAGATTTCACTGGAATGAAGAAATAGAATAGAATTTAGGGGGTGGATTGGTGATGGTAGGGATGTGGAAGAAAAAGGTATGGAAGGGTTGGGAAGAAGAGGTTTAGGGAAGGAATGCAGGAAAAGACAGCTAGAATTTAACGGCATTTCAGGGGTACTATAGAAACCTCGTACATTGGAAATTTTCTAAAATATATGATCTAATGAAGTCTTAAAATAATGAGGCAGAGAGAGCCCCAACTGGTCATCTCTTGTTACCAAAGGAAGCCTCCAGTATGAGTATTGCATTACATCTAATTAATTTGATTTTTAAAGGGGTAGACAGAAATCCCCAAACAACTCAGGAAGTTGTGCATGTTGTAAACTGACAGCAAGGGCCCATTTCTGAAGATAACACCTACACAACTCACTGGACATGTAGAGGTTGAGCTGGTGCCTACACAGAACTGTCACTCCCTTTTTCTGGTGTTTTTGTTATGGGAAAGTACTTTGCAGCCTACCAAAAGAGAAATGTAATCATCAACCTAGGTACAAAGCCTTTGATCTGCAATCTTTCCTGCCTTTCAAATATGCTAGAGCAGTGGTGGCACAACACTTGTGCCACCAATACCTTATTTGGCTTAATCCCCATGCCTGGAGATTAAACCCATCCTGGACACTGCTTGGGTAACCAAGAACCAGAGATGAGATAACCCAGAAACCTAGGGTAAAAACAAATACTACTGGTCTCAAAAAAATAACAATAAAATACTTATAGATCATTGTCTTGTTCAGCCATCATCAGAGAAACTTCCTCCTATGGCAGATGGGAACAAATACAAAGAAGCACAGCCAGACATCAACCACACACACACACACACACTGAGAGAGAGATAGAGAGAGAGAGAGAGAGAGAGAGAAAGAGAGAGAGGAGAGTCCTTGAAAGATATAGCTCTAAATAGGATGTTTATAGAGGAATTTTATTCCAGCAGCTTGGCTGCTCTGATCACATCCAAAGACCTTCTAGGCCTGTTTGATCCAGTTGGAATGCAGACATAGTTTTACTGCAAAATTTAATCCCAAACAATGAAGGTGAAGTTAGTTTGGAGAAGGAAGCACCCATGTTTGAAGGTGATGTCTAATTGAGTGGCAGACAAAATGACAAATCAAAGAGAGATTTGACAGAATGCCCAAATCTCATGAGAACAGACAGGAAAGAGAAGTGACTTAAGAGAGCAGTGCAGGGCAGGGGGTGGAAGGAGGAGGCAGTTTTACCAGGAGAGTTTAGAAACAGTTTGAAAGAGGAAACAAGCCACAGAATAAGAAATAGCCAGAAGATTAAAACAGATTTCCAGAGTTAGTCTGAGGCCAAGCAGAGAAATTCATTAAGAAACTGAAAGAAGTCAGACTGAATCAGTCAGCTTGGAAAGGAGTTTGATCCAGAACAGCAAATTGAACCAGCCAGCCAGAGAGAGAACTAGAAATAGTGAGCTTACTCAGCAGTAAGTCAGAGGCTGAACTCATTCTAGGCCTAGATTAGATTGTACAGAGGCTAGAAGCTTCCAGGACTATGCCTAGGTTATCAAATGGAGATGACAAAAATATCAGGTGAATAAAAGCTACTTTTACAGATGTTTCCACCAAATTTTTTCTCTCAGAGCTCAGGGTCTTCATAGAAGAGGAGGTAAAATTAGTGTAAGATTCAGAGAGGATGGAGGACACCAGAAGAACAAGGCTTTCTAAATCAATGGAGCAAAACTCATATGAACTCAGAGAGACTGAAGCAACACACACAAAGCTGACACGGGTCTTCACAAAGTCCTCTGCCTATATAGTATGGCTTTCAGTTTAGTATTTTTAGAGAGTGTGAACAAGTGAGTCTCTGGTTCCAGTGCCTTCTTCTGGGACTCTTTTTCTTCTTTTGGTTTGCTTTGTCTAACTTTGGTTTTGTTTTATTTTATATTTTATTTTGTTATGTTTTGTTATCTCTTAAAAAAAACTGTTGTTTTTCAGCCAGGAGTAATAATGCATGCCTATAATCCCAGAACTCAGAGAGGCAGAGGCAGAGGCAGAGGCAGAGGCCAGCAGATCTCTGTGAGTTCAATTCTAGTCTGGTTTACAAAGTGAGTCCAGACAGCCAAGGCTACACAAGAGAAATCCTGTCTCCCAAAACAAACAAATAAAACACACTCACAAAAAAACAACTCCAAAAAATCCAAACCAACTCCCCCACAAAAACAAAAAACAAAAAAACCCTATTCTTTTCTAATGAGAGACAGAAAGGGAGTACATTTGGATGGGAGGAGAGGTGGGGAGGAACTGGGAGGAGTAGAAAGAGAAAAAAAACTCTAATCAGGCTATATCATAAAGAATTACCCAAAATAAAAATCTTAGATCATTTTCAAAAGTGAAAAAGAAACATAAAACATAAAAGCATTACATTAAAAAACTTTCAATACTTTGCTCACAAATGTAATACATTTTTGAGGTGATATATTTCTTGATTAATTTGCTATCACCATCTACACTGTAAAATACGGAAGAACTTAAAATTATATCTCATTAATGGGTTCAGTATTAATCAATAAAAATGACTGCTGAATCTGGGCCTGGTCACACATGCCTATAATCCCAGCACTATGAAGCAGGAGGATCAGGAGTTCAAGATCTGTTTTTATCTACATCGAGAATTTGAAGTCAGCTTGGGCTATAGAAAACCATGTCTAAAAAATCCAATTAACCATGAATAAAGTGTAATAATTAATAAAGAATTAAAAAAATCCAACTAACCAATTAATCTCACAGCCAACCAAAATTTTCAAAAAGAAAATTACAAAAGAATAAACTCTCACATTCTTGCCTTGACTTTCTAGTGTTTGTGTTTTGACAGAGTTCTTCATTTTTCATTGAAGAACAACTGAACTCATGGGAGCTAGGAATTTAGAGGAGAGTCCACTGTGACTCCTTACTGCATCCTGACCTCACATGCACAGGAGAGTGTGATCATTCTGGCTAGAAAGCCAACAGTGTTCCCTACAAGACAACTATCCGGGGCTGGAGAGATGGTTCAGAGGTTAAGAGCACTGGTTGCTCTTCCAAAGGTCCTGTTTTAAATTTCCAGCAACCACACGGTGGCTCACAACCATCTACAATGAGATTTGGTGCTCTCTGCTACCATGCAAGTGTACATACATAATAAATAAATCTTAAAAAAAAGACAACTATCCAGACTCCATCCACCACATTCACTGCTGCTTCCATGAGGTAGCCATTCCATTGGACCTGAGATGGTCACGTGCGTGCAAGTCATGCTGGCTCGCTACTCTTGTTTTCAGCAGACACCACCTGTTTTGCTTGGTTAAGCCTCCTGTTTTGCTTGGTTAAGCCTCCTGTTTTGCTTGGATATGTTTACTTGGACAGTCCTTTGTGGTTTACCTATATAAGTGGTTTACTCTGTAATAAAGATGACAACTTGATCAGAGCACTTGGTGTCTTGGTGTCATGTCTTTGTGTTCTCTGTCTCTTATAATTCCCAGACCCTTGTGCAGGTGGTTACTATTGGTGGTCGCGGACGACTACAGGTGGTGTCGAAACCTGGCATTGAACCTGACAACGACGGACTTGCTGAGGAATGCTATGACTTAGGACGTCCATTGGGCCAAAAGGAAAGCACATCGGTGATCGCCCATCAGCAAGAGTGCAAGGTAAGGGCCAGACAGCGCAATATGGGACAGAGCAATAGCAGGGGAGCGTTTATTGAAACACTCAAACAATTACTCAAAACACGAGGAGTTGGGTTTGAAAGTTGAACTCTTCAGGACTTTTTAAGTCAAGTAGATGCTAATTGTCCCTGGTTTCCTGAAAGTGGGACTTTGAATATAGTGGTTTGGGACCGAGTGGGTAACCCCAGAACTGGCCTAAAGGGCCTACCATTACCCACCTTCAGGGAATTGGGCATTCTCAAAATACTGAATATAGTTCTCAAATGCTTACTTGGAAAGATGAGGAGGAAAATTCAGGAACTGTGAAACCTTTTGTCATTAAAGGATTGCCTGATAATTATGGGAAGAGAAACTTGCATATAAGGGACACACAGGGATTTTGAAAATGCTGCACATCCTGGACTAGTCACTGTATAGACGACACTGATAAACACTTTGTATTCAGATGCCAAAGAAAACTAATTGCAAAGTTGATTTACTTTTTATTAAGTTCTGTAGAGCTGCTGTTTTAATGTATTTGGGGTTTTTCTTTGGTCCATCCAAAGAGTAAATGTAGAACAGTCTACTGAACTGCAGTTTCTGAAATACATTATTTCTTCTGAAATAAAACTGAGCAATAGCTTGTTGGCAATAACCATCTTGCAGCTATGCAACTTTGAAAAGTCTAAATTTGCAGGTCTCAGTGCTGGGGCCGAAATGACTCTGTCCTACTTCATTGTACTATGCATTTCCAGGCAGTTTTCCCATGTTTGGATAAAATGTTTAGCAAGTTGTAAACTTAAATACCTTATGAAAAGGGTGAAATAAACACTTCTGCAGTGGGACTTGGAGTAATTTGAGGGACATTTTATATACTTTTAAAAATCAGAATTTAATTGGGAACCCAGATTTCTAGCAACTTGTATCTTTAGTTTTCCAGATAATCTGGAAGCTAGCATTTGATAAATGATTTTTTAAGCAAATATAAAAATTTTGTTAATTTATGATTTATTAATGTCTTACTGTAATTGAAAATGTTGTGGATACTTTTAAATTCAGTCTTTGGAGAAAGAACTGTAATAAGCAAAATTATGTGAAGAGATTGTTGTCCCACAGACTAGACATATAAGCAAATGTTAACAAATTCTCAGTTGCTCTTTGCCTTCAGTACATAATGCAGAGCATCGCACCTGTTCAAGAGCAGAACCGCTCTCAGGCTTTATGGAAGTCACCTTAGCTTTTGCAGCCTGAGGCACGTGTTCCAGAGACCAGAGATCAAAGTGTATGTGCCTTCTTCAGTCTTTCTATTTGAGAAGGAAGGTACAGCAGCTGGACCAGGATGGAAGGGAGCGTGGTTGACCGTCCTTAAGTGTGGAGGGGCGAGCTCGCCTGAGAGAGAGCAAAAGCGGTGGTACCCGAGCCCAAGTGGCAAGCCACAAAGGGAGCATCCCTGCTCGCCACCTCCCTCCCCAATGTCCTCGCCCATCGAGAGAAAGAGCCTGGACCCATCTGAGGACTGTGCTTCCTATAACAATCGTATCCGTGCCTACAGATCAACTCTGACGAGTGGACTAAGATCAATGAAATGATCTAGGCCAGAGTCCCAGGCACCTTCAGTGAGGTGTTCAATGAAGACACTGTCTCAATGGGGTCTTCATTCTTAGGCACTTTGGAAACCTGAGGGTGTATGAGGCATTTCTTAGGAAATTCTTGACTCTCCCTGGGTATTAAGATATAGCATCCACATGACATAATGCAAAGCTCAAGACTCCAGTGACAACAGGACCAGCCCTTAGAGAGATAAATGGTCACAGACTATCTGTAATAGCTGACAAGATTAGTGGAGGAAATATTTGGGGACCAGCACACACTGTGTCATCATGGTAGGATTTCCAGGATAGGCAGTGTTTGGTCATTTGCTGTTTCTCATCAAAGCCTGCTCCCAAAAGAACTTTGAAGAAAGCTACTAATTTTGATTGGTCCAGCATTTTAGACTGTTCCAAAGAGGACTTTTATATAGCCTGAAATTGCTCAACATTCAAAGACTGGACCACAATTGTTATTGCTTGCTTAATTAACCATTTTCCCAATTTTCTTTGGACCCTGTAACAGGAATTCTACGTGTCCAAAATGTCAGCTAGAAGAAATCCATAAGAATGAGGTCCAATTTTCCTTAAAGGGTAGGTTTTTGGTTGTTTTCTGTGGCCATGGATGTTTATTGTCATTGGGAGATGTTTATAATTATTAATGATCTATTCAGAGTGAAACAAAGTATATACAGGTATATCTTATAGAAATAAGACAAAAGGTAGATTATTGAATCTACTCAACTTAGGGTTTTATTATTCTCAAATAAGGTTAATTAACTTCCTATTTACTCTAATAACTAATTTTATTCCTTCTCAAGTCTCTGATGGGGTTGAAGACCAAATAGTTATAGTTCCACAATTAAACTTAAATTGTTTAGAAGTTAAGAAATCCTTTCATATAGGTAATACCAATAAGGATAAAAGTTTAGGTATAGAACTCTAGGTATAGAGTTATAAATTTAGGTATAGAACGCTAAGCTTGTCAAGATAGATAGGATAATCAGATTCTTTCTCCTAAGTTGCTAAATACGCATGGACTGGATATTGTACATGTAGATTTTACCTAATGGTTTTCATAATTTCATAATTATTATTGTATTAAAAGAAAAGAAGCCTTATGAGTCTTTGGTCATAAATGAAAAAGGGGGAACTGAGGTAGCCATTCCATTAGACCTGAGATGGTCACGTGCGTGCAAGTCATGCTGGCTCGCTATTCTTGTTGTTTTCAGCAGACACCTCTTGTTTTGCTTGGTTAAGTTTCCTGTTTTGCTTGGATATGTTTACTTGGAAAGTCTCTTGTGGTTTACCTGTATAAGTGGTTTACTCTGTAATAAAGATGGCACCTTGAGAGGACTGTCTTGGTGTCATGTCTTCGTGTTCTCTGTCTCTTTTAATTCCCAGACCCTAGTGCAGGCAATTACTATTGGTGGTTGTGGGCGACTACACTTCCAAGCACAGGTGTCAGAATTCTGTCATACAGATGTCTTCTGAACTGGCAGGCGATGGATGGGTCACTATGTTCCTAGTGCCCCAAGGAATGACTAGCAGATGGTACAAGACAGGATTTGTGGAGTTTCCAGGAGGAGGAGGTGACACAGCCACACTGAAAAATGTTCCTGTTTCATTACTAAACACATTTTAGTAAATACTTCGTGTAGTATAAAAAGAACACTATTCAGGGAGCCATCTAATATATTAATTCCCTAAAGGGTCCTATAAAACAAGAAGCTTTTCTTGGTCTCTGTAACATTTTCTGAAACTCTGGCTTATGAAGGAAACATAAGGAAACAAAGGCATCCTTATGCTCATGACTTTCCATGTGATCTGGATGATTATCTTTATGGGAACACCTTGAATTTCCTCATCTTTCTTTGTTTATAGTTAGTGCTACTATTGTGAAGTGTTTCTTTTTATGTATATAATTAATTTCAAGGCTAGTGGTTTAGCTTTGTAGTCTGGAGAAAGGTAAAGACAATGGAGGAAACATAGTTGTGGGAGAGATGGAGAAACAGAGTGAGCAGTAGAGGAAGGTGAAGGAGGAAAATGAAGAGAAGAGGGAGGAAAAGTGGAACAGGGTGTAGAAAATATAGAAGGTAATCAATGGGGTTAGGGGAAGCAGACAGTAGAAGACAAGGTGATCTGGAGTTAGAAATGGAGTAAGTGGGACAGATGATGAAAATAAGAGATGGTAATGAATGAGGAGTTGGAGATAGAGGAGGGAGAGAGAGGAAGAAAGAAAGATGAGAAACCAAATAAACATTTTCAATAGAAAAGGATAAGAAAAAGCAGACTGATTGTAGCTGTAGAAAGAACGAAGAGTGGGAAGAGGAGGGAGGAGGGGAGAGATGATGGGACAAGAAGGAAACTGGCTGTGACCAGGTCTGCAAGATCTTGAGAGTGAGCTAGGTTTACCAACCATTCCCTGACAGGAGCATGATGGCCAAGCCTGTACAGTTTTTACTGGTTTTGATCTGCCTGTTTCACAGCATTTCCAGTCTTCAAGAGGAAGGTAAGGGGTGAGTGTGGCTGGCGGCGAGTTTTTGATGAATTAGCCTTGCACATCGATTCCATATGTAACAAACTCAGATGTTTTGTAGGGGAGGGGCCACCTTGATTTCATGTATCCTAATAATTGAAAATCTATCTTCTATTTTTTTCCATGTGAGTGTGTGTGTGCGCATGCACGCACGCGTGTGTGTAGAAAACAAAATTCTCAAAACCAGCAAGATAAAACTAACAAGAGTGAAAAGAATAGAAATGCTAATTGGGGTGTTCTATTGTCATAAGTCATATCATAGAACAAGTTGTTTCTCCACTTTGATATGTTTTAAATGGCTACATAAGGAGAAAAGAAAGCTTACTTTTGTAAAACCTATTTTATTTCTTTATCAAAGTTGTGTTGTCTTTAATGACTCTAAAATGGCTATTTAAGAAAGGACTTCATTCTGGTTCATGGCTTGTGAGGATTGTGCAGAGATCTACAAGCTACTTTTATGGGTGGCTGACAGTACATATTCATTTAAGCACTCCTCAGCACGTCTTTGCATCTAAAAATAAATAAAAGCCAGAGTAGATAAGTATTTAACAGTTTTAAAGAAAAAAAGAGGAAGAAAAGATTCTCCTATGACTCATTTTGTATCAACTGGAATTCTTATTTTATGATTATTGAAAAACAACACTTTCAAACTTAGCGATGTGTTTTTATTTTAAAATTTAAATACTATTTATTTGTGTATGTGCAGGCACACCTGCATTTCATGGTGTGCATGTGTAGGTCAAAGCAAAACTTGCAGGAATATTTTCTCTTTTTCCACCATGTGGATTCCGGTGATCAAAGGCAGATCATGAGGCTTTGGCAGCAAGCAGTTTTATCCCCTGTGTCATCTTGTTGGCTCATTTCTCCCTTTTACCATG